GGGTTTTTATAGTGATTTTTGTTAAAAATAACTATCTAATAAAAATCAGCATTTCTGTTGAATTGTTGATTTTCGAACTACTCTGCAACTTATTTGACTTGCCATCGCTACCAACTGTGAAACAGAAAATCTTATATATTACTTGATACATTTCTAAAATACTTTTCAGGTCAATTTAATACAGAAAAAATAAGGAAAAACAATTAAAACCATCAAAGTTCAGTTTGAATTCATATACAATATTTCGAAAAAAGAATTGCTTAATGAGTATTTGAAGATTCACGAACTATAATTACATTCTGAGATAACATATTCTGATATTTCTCCTGTTTAGGCGGATCGGGCTTATGATTGTGCTGATCAGCGCTGACCGTTACAACTCGACCAGTTGTCACCAAAGTGGACTTGCATCTGTTTTCCTTATTTCGAAAATAGTGGCAGCACTTCCAAACCGTTTTGTTAATTTCTTTCCTGTAGATCAGGTAGTTGTTGTCGTCAAGTACAATTTTGGGATTCTTTGTCGCAACGTCAAAATAGATAACTCCTGAAAATGCAAATGTTTTAGACTTTGCCCTGGTGAACATTCGCATGAAGCTGTGGTGATAAACCACGCATTTTTTTCATCAACGAAATATGATCCTTCATACTTAATTATCTTCATTTCAGTTTTGACGTGTATAGTCATCTTAGTTTTGACATATCAGAGATTGAAAGGAATTGAAATTGTGTATTTTGCAGTTTCTGTGGAAATCATTAGAGAAATAATGGTTTGTAAATGATATATAGGACCTTATTTGGATCTTTCTGAGAATTCTCACCTTCCAGTGTAGAAAGAGTTTAATATATGCCGAGGATATTAGAAAACAAAAGGTAAGTGCTAGCTTTAAAATTCTTCAGGTTTGAAGGCCTGAGATAATATCTGAAAACCTCGGCCGCGAAAGAATCAACCATTTTGCTAGCTTCAGTTTTTTTTTTCATTTCTGGGAACGTAGACAGAGTTTGGCCTCCGAAACGTTCAAGAAGTAACTTATTGGGATGAACTAGAAGTTTGTCCTTGTGAGGAAGATGAAAATTCCCAGAAAGTTCAATAAAAAATGATTTTCATCACAAAAAGTACCAGTTTTTATGTTATGCTATATTGCAAAAGCACTACAGTGTCTACAACAAAACAAAAAAAAGCTATAATAAAACTCCAACATGCATAAATAGAGCTTGCATAACAAGCTCCAACTCCATAAACTACAGATATAACTTGAACTGACTGTAGATGACCCTGACAGAAAATGCAGTTTTGCGGTTTAATGTCCGAACGTATGATTGCAAATTGAAACTGCATAACAAGTATTTGCTTGAGCACTTTTTTCTCGAAGAAAAATATTGGCCGCCAGAATACGTGATATTGGTGTGACATAAGCCCACAAGAGGGGAGTAACCCCTCTTCTCCCCTACCTCACGCTCAAATCGTCAGATTTCGATAAATGTACTTTTTACCTCGAAATTGAGCCACCAAACCTTAATCTGACGCATTCGAATATTTTTGAAAAGTGATTTTTTTTATAAATCTGACGGGCTGTCCTACTTGCCCGGCTCTCAATTGAGGGTTTATGGATGGTAAACGGCTTCAACAGGCTGCACGGTACCTCTCCTATGTTTATCTGTTATGCTCGAGTAAATCCCAAAATTTCCTCTTGGACTCCCCTACTATATGAAATTTCTGTTTATATATTATTATGATGTATAAATAACGCATTCTCCAAGTTACTATTGGTACCCCATAATCGATCGGAAATCCATAAATGTTATGTTATGATCGACCTTGTATATAACCAACACCAACTAGAAAAAATATACCACTTTTAGTATCAAAACGATGTGAGTGATGATTGGATAACGATATTCTTTAGACGTGAGACAATGGCATTCGATACCGTGAACCATGACATTTCATTTCAAAGTTTAGAGGAAAACATATCATCAAGAACTACTGGAATAACCGAATACAAGTTACTCTTTACCCGTTACAATGGGTGTGCCACGAGTATTAGGTACAATATTTTTCTTGTTCTTCATAAATAATATTTATAACTTGAATAAAATCGACGGGACCTTGTTATATCATGCCGATAATACTGATGTGATGTTTGTTGGAAAAACTTGAGAGCATACACTGTGTCCGTAAAGTATGGAACAAAATAATAAAATAATAATCTAATATACAGGGTGAATTACGTTCGAGTAATGACGTCACCGTAATTTTTTTTTTAATGGAACACCCCCATTTTGTCTAAATTTTCGGATTACTCTAGCTGAGCTGATTCCAAAAATGTATCACATGTTGATTCCAATTGGTACAGGGTGAACAAAAATACAGTAGTTGTGTGTGTGCTTATAAAGTAACGCGTAACATTCTTTATTAGGTAAATTAACAATATTATCAAAAAAAAATTTCTAGCGGACAGAATATGCTGGAATACATGACTTTATATTAAATGTTCGAACTGCAGCCCTTGCTGTATTTGACAGTTCACACACACACAACTACTGTATTTTTGTCCACCCTGTACCGATTGGAATCAACATGTGATACATTTTTGGAATCAGCTCAGCTAGAGTAATCCCCCAGGTGTTCCATTTAAAAAAAATTACGGTGACGTCATTACTCGAACGTAATTCACCCTGTATATTACATTATTATTTTAAAATACGGTAAATTAACATCAAAAATCGACGTGTTTCAGGATTATTTCTTAAAATGACCTGTTTAGCTAAAAATGAATTTGTTCCATACTTTACGGACACAGTGTATATACAGATGTGGAAAACAAATATCGGAACATATGAATCCCAATGCAATCTGGACTGGTTGTGCGATGGCAGTCGACCAATTTAAAATTAGATATTTGTTCGCAACGGAATAACAACTATTCGATCGAGCCACTCTACTTTATATATCCCCACTCACAATTTGCGTGTGTCCGCTAGACCACACTCACAGCATTCATCGGTATGAAAGTGTTAAGAAAGGATCTGTGTCCTCGTATGTCTGACTTCAAGTCTTGGGTCCGAGTCTTTGCGACGCCGAAGCTCCGTTTATGCGAGAAATTATTTGCTGCGATAACTGTTACTAATAATTTTACTTATAAAAATGAAATACATGCAACAAAACTACAACAATAGCTAAATCTGTCATGTCATATCTCTGAGTTCATTTCGAATAATGCTGGCACAAAAATGAATAACTTTCCCCCTTATTTGATCAAGATTTGTAGCTCTCTGAAATTCATACCGATAGGTACATTTTTTCAGATACCCCCAAAGAAAGGAATCATTCGGAGATAAATCTGGTGATTTGGAAGGCCACTTAATCGTGCAACGTGTAGAAATCAATCGACCAGGAATCGTATTTAGGAGAGAGTGTCGCTGGTCGTGCATTGCGACTTGAACAACCATCCAGTTGAAACCAAATGTCCCCAAAATCAATAGGAAGTAGATGATGGAGAAATCTGATTTTGTAATAGTTTTAGGTATTTGGCAGCATTCAGAAGGGACCTAAAATATAGTCTCCTAACATTCCTTTCCAAACATTGAGTGTTTTTGGGAACTGAATACGCACAGGAATACTTAGATGCTGATTTTCCCCAGACAAATATCGAAAAATGGATGAATTGTGTTTCCTACGCAAATAAAATGATAACTCATATGTGAATAATAAGTTTTACAAAAACGAATCATTTTCATTTTGCTTTTTCATCATGGCATCACAAAATATCCATTCATCTAGCACAAGTTTCTCAACTTCTGAGAGTTGTCGTTCGTATGGGGGCGACAGCTGATTAACGGAAAAACAGATTTTAAACAGACAGAGAAACAGATGTAATGAGGTCGCCGGTAATGTGGTTCATAGGAATTTTGACACTATCGGCAGTTATGAGCACATCCACATTTCTCTAACTCTTTAAAAATAGATCAAGTGACCACCAAAATACCACTTCAACATTTGTATCTTCTCTTCCTTTGTGAACCTGAACATTTCAGAGTTTGCAATAAAGTATTTTGTTTTCAATGGTTATGGACTGACTGCTACCTAATTCATCACTTCCTCGAGTTAACCATTGCAGGAAGGGGAACAGTGGTTCAATCCAATAGATGATATTCCGTCCCGAACAAATCTCTGATTTTTATGTCGCGGACCCCGTCCAGAATGCATTGGGATCCGTATGTTCCGATATTTATTTTCCACATCTGTATAAGAAAACTGACGATGTAATGAAATTGATATATAAGTGACTGAATGAAGAGTTCTGCTTTGAACAGTTTTAAATGCACCAGTTAGAAAAGCAAGCAATAGACCATAGAAATTCCACTACCTTCAACGGTTTTATCTTAGCATGACCCAACACCAGTACTGTTCTCAAAATAACTTCCAAATAGTTTATCGAAAGTTTATTAACTATTATAATTATTAGTAAAAATAAAAACAACAATAAAAATTAATTGGCGCTCCGGGGCGACTACATCGATTCCAGTGGCGCATTTGCTTTTTCAGCTGCAGGAAAACCCGGAAAAGCCTGCAGCACCACATTTTCTGAAGATCTTGATCTGCCAATGTCCTGTTTTTCATAAAACAAAATTTAGGGTGTCTCCAGAGACTCCAATAGATTCAATACATCGCCAGAACACTTCGTGGCACGACTATCGTCAAACTTAAACCAGTTCCTTTCGTCTTTGACCAAGGCGTAATAATGACCAGAATCAACGCCAGAACCACAGTGAACAATGACTGCATGAATATTATAATAGTGGTCTGCTAGATTGAAATGTTCATCTATTTCGAACCTTCGAAAGAGTTTCTTGCTTCCGTCAGACATTGAGTTTTGTTTGAAGATCATCAGTGTTATTATTAGATTGACTGGTGCCTCTGCTATACTTGTTTCCTTATAACAGTCAGTTAGTTTGGCGCATCGAAAGTATTAGTGTTTCACAAAAATAAAAATAAAATACGCTTTTTGATAAGATTTTTACTATAAATCAAAAGTCAATATAAATTTGGCTCAAGTATATAAATGCTGTCTATACAATAATAAAATTAAAATCACATATGCAAAAGTGAAATGTAGACGACAGAATTTCTCCAAACTTACCTTCACATCGTTCTTCTTCTATAAAAAATGAAACGTACTCCTTCGAAAAATTGAACTTTTATGGTGTTGATGTCAGTTTGAATTCTTTCAAATATTAATTCGAGTAAATGAGGAATGTTCATTGTAATCTTTCGTGTCAATGTATTTCGTTACTATTTCAGCTGTTATACACTGCCGGGTATAAAATTAGGGTCACCCCATGAGTTGAAGTTATCTTGGAAATGTATGTTTTTATTTGAAATATTTTGGATGTACCATACTGTACTAATAAATTGCTTCAAAAACAATATTTTTTAAACATAGTACTGTCAATTGGCGGTTGTTTATGTACGGTTGGTAATGTTGGTGCATCGAAATTAACATCTCGAATGTGCAACGAGTATGGCGGCGGTACCACAAAACTGGTCTGCCAACTCGAAGACCTGGCTCAGGGCGAGAAAGGACTACTATAGCTAGGGATGACCGGTTTCTCTTATCTAGTGCTTTGACAAACAGATCAGTTACGACAGTTTCCCTTCGAAGTCACCTGCAAGAAGTCAGAAATGTAAACATAAATGAGTGGACAGTTAGGAGGCGACTCCGTTCTGCTGGATTATCTTCTCGAACTAGAGCTACTGGACCGCCGCTTTTCCGTGCACACCTGATTGATAGATTGAATTTTTCACGAGTACACTTGTCTTGGACAGTATTCTGATTCTGCCTTAAAGGATCAGACGTGTACGGGTATGGAGAAGACCAGATAATAAATATGCTCAAACGTGTACAGCCGAGCGACTTCCATTTGTTGGTGGATCAGTTATTGCATGGAAGGCAAATCGTTTGACCCTCGCACGGAATTAATCTTCATCGAGAATGGGACATTGAATACGCATAGGTACCTGATGGAGGTTCTATAAGAGCATGCACTGCCCTGATCGTTACTCAGTATCTTGACGAGGTTCAACCCACGCGATTTGTTTGACCTGCGCACAGTCTGGATTTGAATCCCATTGAACATGTTTAGGATGAGCTTGAGAAACGTTTACGAAGACATGTGACGGGTCTCTGAAATTATAGAGAGCTACGCGACATAGTACTGCTACAAGAATGGAAAAACCTTTCGCAGACTGTAATCCAGAGCATGCCTCGTTGTTTACAAGCTATATCTGCAAAAGGAGGTAACACTCATTACTAAAACCCTTACATTTTTTCTTTTTCAAAAAAATTCATATCAAATTGTTCATTTCATTTCCTAGCAACTGAAGTAAAATAATTGTTCATGTTCAATATTAACAAATGAATTTGGGCAACCATAAACTATTTTTTTTCAGGACTCGGTAAAATATGTGACATGAGGAAGAGATCCGAAAAAATCAAAAAAAAAATTTTAATAACTTCAAATTACAGAGTGGCTCTAGTTTTATGCCCGGCAGTGTATATTATTCCCACAGATCAACACAGTGCGTTTTCTATTTTCTATAATGTAAAGTTTTTGGCTTTGTACTTCTCTAACATCAAACATCTACTCTTGTGGAAAGACGAAAAAGTAGAAAACCAAAATCTTTCTTTTCCAAAAATCATTCTCTTTTGAAAATATACCAGTTGAAATGATAGTCAATTTCTGTGGTGATTACTACTTGAATAAAATTTGTAATAAGAACTATCAACAGTTAACTAATAAGTTTTTGCATACATAAAAACAGGTAAAAAAAGAATTACTTCTAACATAAAATATTTTTCGAATGAAGGTAAGAATGGAGACAGCATAAAAAAGTTGCAAATCACTGATGAATCGGAGTGGATTTTTGTGGAATTTCCCTTATTATCGTAACATTCTGCGACAATGACCTGTCCATTTTTGGTGCTCGCAAAATCGGATGATTGTGGGGATCAGCACTTACAGTAACCACCCTCCCGGTCGTAATGAGTGATGACTTGCATCTCTCTGCAATTGAGCTCTTTGACCCAAAGTAATTGCGACATTTCCAAAATGTTCTCATAGATTCTTTTCGATATGTACGGTACTCATAATTATCCAATATTATTTTTGGATATTTCGTTCCAACGTCAAAATAAATGACCCCTAAAAAATACTATACTAAATTACAGATAACACTTGAACATTTTATACCAAATGATTTCGCCTTATAAATGAGAATTTGAAACCAGAACCATGAGTTATATTTTTGGAGAGACACATTTTCAGTTTTCTAACTCCTCATTAATAAAAGTATCTTCCATACCAAAAGTACAGAAAGAGCTAAATAATTTTTTAGAAATGCATTTTGGAAAAACAAGCATCGGGAAAATGTTTCTTGACTTTTTCTGGACTATTTGATATTGTCCTAAGATTTGACCTTGACCATGACCTAAAACGGATAATCTCAGAGCTTTAGTATTGAAGGTGCTGGGTAAGGCTGGCAAATGAAATGAGAAACGCTGTGATGTCCGTTTATTATTAATAACAGTTGTCCGAAACTCGCAGCTTCAGCTTCACACTAAAAATTTATATAGCTATAGGAGTTGTAAACCATTCCTTATGTAAAAACACGTGCAAATTTGAGCAGGTTCATTCTGGCGTATTTTAAACCTGAGGCCCAGTTCACACGGAAAAAAAATCCGCGCCTCGTCTCTGCCAGACGTCCATTCTGTGTAAATTGGGCCTTGGAGTTTCAGAGCCGCTCCTTCACTTTTGCCGTCATTCAGTCAACCAATCAGCTACCGCGCGTTCAGCGGGAAATTCAAACAACCAGTAGATGAACAAAGAGACTTCCGGCCCAAAATCCCATGTATTTTCTTAAGGAGCTAAACTTTTTGCAATTTTAAGGTCAAACAAGAGTAGGGGGAAAAAACGTGTCTGGTACGTGACAAGGGGGTCCGAAGAGGCGGAGTCCCAAGGGCGCCTACGCTCTTTGAATCTCTCCGATACTCATTCCATCCTGCATCGATTATGTCACACGTTTGACCAAAAAATTGCAAAAAGTTTAGCTCCATAAGAAAATACATGGGATTTTGGGCCAGAAGTCTCTTTGTTCATCTATTGGTGGTTTGAATTCCCCGCTGAACGCGCGGTAGCTGATTAGTTGACTGACAGACGGCAAAAGTGAAGGAGTGGGCTCTGAAAGTCTAAGGCCCAATTTACACAGAATGGACGTCTGGCAGAGACGAGGCGCGGACCTTTGTCCCTTTCGTATGAACTGAGGCCTGAGGTCCAAAAAACGCCAGAATGAACCTGCTCAAATTTGCACGTGTTTTTCCATGAGGAATGGCTTAGAACTCCTATGGCTATAGGAGTTCATCTCAGACAGCTGTACACAAAAAAATTGATGTTAAAATTGCACTACATTCTAATGACGTTAGTGTCAATTTGGAAGTTTCAGGCAGTTTAATAAATATTTCAAGGTATAACGTGTTTTTCTTACCTAAGGACCAGCAAGTGGAAAAAATATTAATAAAAATTGAGGAATATCGTAAATTATTGGTTAATATTCAGAAGAAACAAGAAAAACACAAGATGTACCTTCATTTGTTTGAAAATTCACAATCTTCCCAAGTGAGTAAAGATGAGATACAAGACATTATTCAGGAAGAATTAGGAAAAGTATTGCAGGAGTAGTAGATGAGAAGGAGTCGAAAAAAAATTTGAAGAGGTTTTTCCGGAAACTTTGAAAACGAAAGAGTCTCGGAAACGCAGATAGCCTCTCAAGAAGACCATGCCTTACATCCAGATGGAGATTTTGTCAACACCAGGAGGACAAGGATACCCAGCTACCAGAAGAAGAACTTTCTATCAGACGTGATAAGATAGCGGGCAGAGACTTCTTTATGGACAGCTCTGATAAGAAGATAAGTTCCTCTACCTCGCGCCACTCCGGGTTCCCTCTGACCCGGAGGTTAGCAACCCTCACAGCGCCCTTACAGCAACCCATGAGGCCACCATCTATGTTGTTAACTGGTCGAGAACTGAAACTTCCGATAGATGTATTGTGTGGCAGTCCATCTGATGATTCTCAAGAGGTACCTCTTTCAGAGAATGTGAATGACTTGAAGGAGAGACTGGGAATTGTAAACGAATTTGCCAGAACCAAGTTACAGCTGTCCAGCAAAAGGATGAAGATAAGATTTGACAAAAAGTCGCTGCCGGTGTTTTCCGGAAGCTTGTAAAAGAAGGAAAAGTCGGACAGCTCCCAAATTTCGGAGAGAAAATTGTCGATTTCTCAAACTTGTTTTTCAATTCAAAATGAAAACTTAGACCAGAAACGTTGAGTAGCAAGTTTTAAGTTTTCCCCTAAGACCATTATGAAGTAGCTTCTAAATGATGCTGTGATGATTTATCATTACTTTTTATTATTTGAATTATTTTTCAGTACTTTGTCTTGTTTTCTGTACAAAATGTATAAATTTATTATACTTTTTTGCCGGTCAGAAAAAAGTACTCGTGGAATTGAGGATCTGATTTTTTTATAGAAAAATATTCATCATTCATAACATTATTAATAAAGTAATGTCATGATGTATATGAGAATTGGACCGAAAGTATGCAGATGGAGTAGGAGCCAGAATAAAAAAATCACAGGTTTTGTGAGTAATATGTAATTAAATGAATTTTTCGCATATATTTCTCTGTTTACCAAAAACAAACAATTCCATCGTGATAATATTATCATGAAACAGTTTCAGAATTAAGTAGCAACCATAATAACATTATCTTAATGCTAATGTTTTCTACTCCCTGAATATGTTGACTCTTTGGGAGAGCATATTCTTGACACTCTTCTGTAGCCTTGGTGGATGATTATGTGTTCCACTAACGTGGACAGTTCTTCCGCTAGTTATGAGCTTCGATTTACATCTGTTATTTTTCGAAATGAAATATCTGGAACACATCCATATGGTTTTATTAATCTCCTTTCTCAAGACGATGTAGTCGTGTTCATCCAGTATTATCTTTGGATTTTTAGTAGCCATGTCAAAGTGGATGATTTCTAAAATATTAGGTTGTACAGAAATGATAATCTATCAACTGCGTTATCAGAAAACGAATCAATATGAGTTATAAAACACAATATCTGGTATGTACAATACATTAAACCTTGCTTGCAAGAATATGGGGGAATCTCTGCAATCGGTCAAAGATTGCAGTGACCCACTCTGATCTGCTGGGGTATATCATATAGGAATCACAAAGAGATTCGTTGATCATTGGGGAGTTGACTTACTAACACAAGCCGAGTGCGGGAGGCGAAAGAAATTCACAAACACACAGATGATTCCAAAAGGAAGGAAGAAACACAAAAGCTTGACCCATTATGGAACCCAATCCTAGCCAGCAGAATATTGAGAGCTCAAGTTTCTGTGACCTGTATTCTGTGTTCAAGGTGTTTAATATCATTTTCAACAGTAAATTCAAATTATTTGAAACTTAACAGATATATCATTTGATTGTAGTCGAGGATTTATTGCGATGTCATCTCGGCAGATTGCTAGGCAAACATTTCAACAATTTTTTTCAAGTTCACTAACCACTCGACGAAAATTCCAGAATGACGGTAATCACCTCGAGATTTATCCCTTCTATGAGGTATTTGTCGCCCCGCCCAAGTACCCTAACCACAATCATAACCTATCGCTTCGTCGCCTCGGCTTTCCCCACCAACTCATTCAGGATATGAATATAAACTCTGTTCGAAGATACAAGACACCATCACACACAGTGAAATCAAAAACAACAGACCACGAGAGTGAAAACACATAAAAGGCAGACTTTTGACCGCAGGAGGCCAGATGTCAATCTTGCTGAAGTGAGTACGGGAATGAGTACGGGTGGTTGGACGAGATTATAGCTTCTGCACACAGTAACCGTGTACGGAGGATTCTATCACAGGGCACTCAACCCCGGGGGGTTGAGTGCCCTGCGTTCAATATTCAACCTGGTAGCACTTCTGAAGAAGCAAGCCATGCATTCTAGCCACGGTTGGCTAGGAAGAATTTCCTAACGGTTGGCTATCCCTACTCTCCTCTTGGACTGAACAACGAAACGTCGAAAAAAAGTTCGTATCTTCTTCTTGTTTTTGTTATTTTTTTGCATTTGTTATTATTCATCTTGATGATTTCATTTTTATTTTTATTCATGGTGTGTAATTTTTTACGGCCTATGAACAAATTGTTTGACGTTTCTGATTCTATCAGCAGTAATCTGATGGTTTTGAGCCTGACTTTTCCTCTGGAACTGCGGCAGACCTACTCTCTGTCTTTTCAAGTGCCAGATGTTTTATTGATATTTGAGCTCTTTTCCTAACGGTCAAAATTATTTTATTTTGATTAATTTCTATGGCGTTTCTGAATAGCTGTGAACAATACCCTGTGGTTTGATCTAGAACTTGCATGCGGTCAAAAGCAATGTCATAAATGCAGTCTAAGAGAACATATTCGTCAACTGCCGATTTTTCTATATCAACTTCTTGCATGATCCGTCAAACGCGTTTCAACGTTTCTTTTCGTAGTGGAAAGAGCCACAGCTACAAGTTATTTGTTATATTTCTGGTATATTTCTGAAATACTCCCTGGGGTCTTTAGTTGATCTGAAGATGTTTTAATGGGCTTGAAAAAATAAAATATTTCTCATCCAGTCTGTCACACCACTTATGAAGGTCAGCAGTTATTCCGTTGACCGTCGTTCCAGTGCCACCATGTGGTGTTTTTGATTGGGTCTCGAGGTTTGCTGTAACCCAGCAAGGCTGAAACCTAACCCAGAAATGCACTCTTCAGAGAAAACACATTTCATGCCATAGCTACCAAAGACCCAATAATCAGTCGCTAATGATGGTTATAGTGCTTGATCTAATATAGATCCTTATGGGCTGGTTTTCTACATATTTTACGCCCTAGTGTATCACGATTCTATCTTTCCAGTAATACATCCAGGAAAGCAATTTTTCTTTCCTATTTCTCCATTATATTGAACTGCATTTTCTGGTTACACCAATTTTGCAAGTTCTTCTTTCCCGTGATATCAAAACACGAAAGTATCATCAACATTTCCTAGCCAATGGTAGAGTAAAAGAGCTCATCGTTCAGATTCCT